GGCCAGAAACAGATCAAAGGGATTGACATTTAGACCAGATACAGACCACAGGGACTTGACAGTCAGTCCAGAGAAAGTTTACAAGGACTTGACTTTCAGGCCAGAAACAGATCAAAGGGATTTACATTTAGACCAGATACAGACCACAAGGACTTGACAGTCAAGCCATATACAGGTCTTACTGGTTGCAACTGACATACCAACCAATCTGGCATTAGTTCATCAGGACTTGATCACTCAGGAACATAACAATTAGTGTTTTGACTTCGATACAGTTACAAATGTTACAATTTCTCTGGAGTACCAACAGATTAGTCATTTGAGACACCCAGAAACGTATAATTGACACTAAATTTTATAACAACAGGACCGTTTGCTGAGAACTAACTAGCTGCCTTTGTTCAAATTTGCAAGTGCCAATATCAGTCGCCCATCAAGAGAATACACACTTTGGCTAAGATGGAAACAATCCATTTATTCTTTGTAGCATCTTATCAGTAGCATACAGGTCTAATTCACTTCTGTTATTAAAGACCTATTAGTTTCATTTCAACCTTTACTTCTCTAGTGTCAATTTAGTAATGAAAGGAAAATTTGCACAAAGGCAGAGAGATTAGATTTCAGTGGGGTTTTTTGTGTGATACTTTTGTCCTTCTTGATGTCTTTCTGACTCCAAATACATGAATAGGTTTTCTGTCATCAACCATGGTTTTACAGATTTTTCATCGTAGTAAATTACAATGAATTGACTTTCATAGCAGAGATTAAAACACAGTTTATCAATTGATATTCCACATTTAAAAAGGCTTTGATTAAAAAGTATCCCTAAATCAAGGTTTCCACACTTTGATGTTGAGCTATAACTGTTGTCAGAATTTTTACATAATACAGTGAATGTTCAGGAAAGTTTGCATCAAATACATACACGAGGACAAATATTTGTTTGGTTTGTTGGTAGTTGTATTGTGTATATATATATATATTCATACACATTTTTTTTTCATACAATTCTGTGAATTTGGGCCAGAAACCATCAATTATCTAAAATCAAATCTGTCATAATTTCAAATCTATTTCTTAAATTTTGTTTTAGATATTAAAACAATGTTAATTAAGTTCTGATATAAACTGCCTTTGACATAGAAGTGAATGAAAGCTATTTCCAGTGTCTTAATGGCTCACAGTGGTTCAGATGCTGTCAAAAATGTAAATCTGAAATCTTGACTACAGTTGATTGAATTTCTAAATACATATTTACATAAAAATGTGATCAACATATGAAAAAGCAACAAAATATATGGACGATCTTACTTCGGTTTCCTCCATTTAATATGCAATCGATGAAATTAGTCAGAAGAATTGTGCGTCGTCTGTCATGCTTCCGTAAACTTTTTACATTTTTACACTTCCTAAGGAAAACACTTGAACTGATTTCAATGAAACTTTGCATGAAACTTTCCATGGTCCACACCCATCCATGGGCCTGTGGGGCAGGGCGGAGGGGGTAAAGTTCTGTATAGTTTTTACAGGAAAATTACATTTTTAAGCATAATTCATATATTTTCTATTTGAAATAGATCAAATTTGGTTAGAATTGTTAGAATAAGATCACAGTGCAATGTTATGCACATACTGACAAATTTTTCCTCAAAGTTGAATCCAGTTTAATTTTTTTCAGTTAATGTCACAAAGCCATGTTAAGTTTACATTTCTTAAATCTAGAATTCTGTTTGATAAAATGGAAAATAAAAAGATATTATTTGTGTTTGATTAATTTACTTTTGGCAGTTTGTGTTCTCAGGAAACTGTCATTGCCCTAATTGCTCTAGATGGCATGAAATGGGCCTCCCGTTTGTTGTTCATTGATGTTGCCACCAGCTCCTACAGGGAGACCTGAAAATAACCTGGAAAGTTTATGGGATTATAAACCAAATTACTTAAACTTAATTTCTGAACATGAATTGTACTAAAACGTCTTACATACATGAAACAAGGAACAGTTTTTAAAAAAAAAGGCTTGCATATATGTACTTCCTTAAATTGATAAAAATATGTCTCTAACCAGGTAAGCAAGACTTGGAAAGCATCCATGCAGGATATCTGCTGCCCAAATATCAGGACCTGGGTCTTCAGAATTTAGAGAGAACTCTTATCACGATGACTTATTTCAATATACTTGGCCCTTGTGAACTTCAAAGTAATCAGGGTCATTTGTACTGGGAAATTTTACCTGCTGTACTAATAAAAGGACCCTTGGTCTTCTGTAATTTTAAGAAGATTCCTATGATTTTTTAACATTTCTGAATACTCATGTGACCTTGAACTAGCCCTAGGTCATTTATAAATTTATTTTATATTCATATATTCTATTCACCTAGCATACAACCTAGTTGCTGATTTTGCTCTAGAAGAAATTATTTAAAGTAAAATGTTGACGTTTAATTAATGAAATTAAAAACTAAATTAAAAAAAAATAAAAAACGAAAAAAATCAATGAGATTAATGTCAGAGAAGTATTTTGGATAAAGAACATCTGTTTTTGTCACCAGACAAAGGTCAACATTTAAGGCGCCTCTAATGATCATGTACCAACCTTTGTCAACTTTGGTATTTTTTTAAACATTTTTTCTCTGGAATTTGAGGCCTTCCTTATTTAAACCAAATATAAACAGAATCATAAAGAAATCTGACTATTTCATCTGTTGTGTCCTATTGCTCATCTGGTGTCTTAATTACCAAAATTTAATCTAACTTACATTTTAGTTTCCAATACATATATATTATTTTTTAAATAAAATGAAAATGAAGAAAATTGATAATTTAAAAGAAGATATGGGATGAAAAAAAATCGCTTGGTATTTCTTTGATTTGTCATTAACGTTTCTTAGGGGTTTTTTTCACAGAGAAATATTAATCAACCTTTGTGTGTGATGCATTACTGTCTAATCATGTTACAAAATGTTCTGAGAGAAATAAATCACGCGCTTTTTTTTTTATAGAATGTACACATAGTGTATATCAAAGAAATCTTATTTATTACCTTACGAATGGGTTTTGATCTGTTTACATAAATCCCATCACAAACAGATTCGTAACCTAATGCTACAGATACGAAAACAGTATTACCTGTTAATATGAAACGATCCTAGAGAGCTAGGGTTTATAAAACATCCCTTTGATGTTCCGCCTAGGTGAGTCACAAAGTTAATATATGGTATTCATACATATCGATACACCTTACTTACCTGAAAGTGTCGTCTGCTCCAGATGTCAATTTCGTTGGTTGACTCGGATAGAAACTTCTGTGCTGTGCACATTTAATGACCTCAAGTGGCTGTGAGAAGTGGAAATCATTTGAAAATTGATAATTATAAGAGCCATATTTCAAGTTAAGTGTTATTCTGTACATGTTTATTAATTTATCACAAATTATGTTGTAGTTTTATTCGAAATGGAGGAAACAAAACACGAACAAAAAGTTGAAAATATGAATTATTTGTTCTAAATCCTTATTAAGGATCTAACTGCGACAATCTTGCTGGTGATACACCTTTTCACCAGTTTGCCTTAAACCCGTAGTCCTCCAACCCCGTGGTTAATCACAGGGACTTGTAATTTCACATGGCAGTCATTTTCAAACATCTCAAAGAAAACAAGATGGTTACAAGTCTAAATTCCAGATCCCTGTGGTGTTGCCAGCGAACCTTTGATGGTGATCAAAAGCCACGAAGCGTGCTGTGGGCGCACACATGACCGACGACCTGTTGTTTTCTCGGTGAAAACTGGAGGAACAGAGAAACTTGTATTGTTTACCTCCGCTTTGAAGTGTGTCGCCCACGGGTGCTCGTCCCTCCCGACCGATATGCTTGAGTGACCTTGTTATCAAGCGTAATTAGCCTCTTCTTCTGTACTGTGTGACCTCCGGACGGTTTGCTCCCCTATTGGTCGTGTGACCGCCATTGATGTTTCAGGGTTTAATCAGCCTTTTGGAAACACTTCGTCGGATATGATTTGGATACGCGCTTCTTTAATTTGTACTTAATACAGAATTGTAGTGGAAGGAATTACGAGCAGTCTTAGTGAAATACGAGTATTGTATGTAAATTGTATCGAGGATGGGTAGCAATGTGTAGTCAACGATTTGTTTTTGTTATCCTCCCGTAAACAGCCAGGGTCATTTCGAGGTGGGGTCTGCTTATATTAACTAGTGACTACCGCACTGAATGATATACGAGAGGCCCGTCGCATGCCAGCCAGGACAGCAAGGGCAGCTTAAGGATACAAGTACATCACTATAAAGACCAGTGCATCTGTTTGCTTATTCTCTTACCAGGCGAGCTATGGCTTTCCTTGTCGTCAACGACAACTTGCCTATAAACATTGACACTGTCAACAATACCTATCTTATCCTTAAACTTGGTAAATAAGTGTGTTAAAATTCTAACCTGATGATATGCTGGTGTCATTCTAGTACATAGGTTGAATTGTTGCATGATAAAATCTTTGATGATAAAATTGTTTATTTCTATTCCATTCTACACAATTGTCCATATAAGGATGTCCATACTTAACATCCTAAATGAAGTTAGTTGTTTTAGTTTACCCAGCTCTTTGATAAAGTAGGATTCTGTGATGTTGGTTAAAACATTGCTGATGCAGCCTGCCAAGCAACAAAAATGGGTATCAACATATGGGCAAGTAATCCAACAAATGTCAGGCTTCCTTTCAGAGTTGACTCTATATGAATACTCCCCCAGATAAACTTGCTCGTGCATGTCCATTTTGTAATATAAACCCATTGAAGTCGGACTTCAGAACAAGACTTAGTACGAGTCCAATTTACGGTCATCTAGTGCTTTCAGTTTGATGTCACATTTTGTGCTTTAGTTTATGTCAATAGGCTTCGTTTTTAGTTCAGCTATGAAACTGTTAAGCAACATGATTATTGGATTCCTTCAGTTGTGGCAGCTCGATGAAGCATAAAAATAACAACACATAAATACTTCATAAAATATTTGTTATAGTACAAAATTTTATTGGATGTAACTATTTATTACATAATGGAAATGTTGAACTAATTAGTGAAGTATGAACCAGAAAAGAATAATGACAATGCCTGGACATGTCAATAAAATAATTAATATTAATATGTACAATGTTCAAAAGTGAGATGTCGTTCTCACAGAATAAACATCCATCGTTCGTTTGAAATGATAATTTTCAGATTGAAGACCCTGTTTGGATAATGTCATAGAAAAACTACTTTTTGATTACTGTCTCTCCTGAATCACCCAAATTTAAATAGTATTTACCTCCTCCTATCTGAACTCATTATAAAATCTAAGAACGCTTGATACCATGAATAAGTTACAAAACAAACAAGAGAAATAAACCTGATTTCATTTACATTCAATACATTTCATTAATTAAAAAAGTTTTATGTATTAAAATGCCCACAGCTACTTAAGACTAAAAGGTATCGGCCAATCAAAATGAATGGACTGTTAAAATGGCAGTTGATTTTTAAATAATACCGGTAGTTTTTAACGATAGATCAACAGGAGGTTGCTGCCAAAATCACAACCGTAACTTCCTGATTTAACATGATACATCTGTTGAATAGAAATGAAATAAATAAATAGCTGTCTGAAAACCTGATCCTCTACCCTCGTCACCTGGGGACTTTTCCATCCATGATAATCGTAACAATCAGATAATTTTTTTCTTTAATTGACAAATTGACTTGTGGTGCCCTTGTATTTATCATGATTATTAAAAGACTACAGATATTCTGGGTTCCCTGTGTCCAAGTGGGGACCAATCCTTACAAATAATGACCAGACACTTCAAAAAATCATACTGAACCATAATCATTGCAAGAAAAAACTTTTTAAAAAAGACTTAGTGAAATATTCAAATATTTATGAAACTTAAAAATTACATTTTTTTCACCTTTAATTAAGACAGGGAATGTTTAAAGACGAGAGAAATCCATGAGCGAGGACACCAATAATAATTTTTTGTTTATTTTGAACTTTTAACACAAAATATTGTTTTTAATTATGGTATGCAAATTTTATTTAATGATCAAAGGTGGTCTATATAAAAAAAAAGCTTTGATCTGAATGGACACAGGCTCAGCAGTAAGAAGAACTTTAATTGTACATATTTATATAAATTTGTAACTATCAATTAAGTACTAGCAGAAGAAGTAGCACTAAGTTCATAAATTAACACAAGAGAAATAATTACAATATTATATATAATACAACATCCTTTTGATGAGGGATTTCAGATCAAAGCCAGAGATGTACAGAAAACTTGGACCTTGAAAACACTCTTTTCTTCTAAATGAATGCACTTTATGAAATAATAATGATATAATTTTTTTCACTAAACGAAATGATGATTGATGCACAATAACATATGTCTGATATCTTTATTTCAAAATCTTTGGTATATCTTATGTATGTTAAACAAATCTTTCTTAAAAGTCGTCATTGTAAAAAATAATTTTAAAACTCGGCAACAAATACCATTTCTTCATGGTCTTCATACTTACAGTGTAAAACATCAAATTATTCAAGTCTTGCACATCACATGCAAACTAGCTTTTCATTTTATTATCATTTTTGGAAAGTAATTTCTCATCATTCAGTTAATCAAAATTGCAAAATTTTCAAATTTGACATTTTTTTTTAGTTTTTTTTTTTTGTTTTTTCCCCCCCTCATGTTAAACTAAATATTTTTGTATGGTGTATCTTTCCGAAATATGCCTTCACAAAAACAACTTGATATATGTCCAAAAAATCCTCTATTTTTAAATCGTTATTTAAGGTCAAAGTCACCTGTCCACTACCTTAAGATCAAGGACACAATGCCCTTTACATTAGTCATACTGGCGAAAGTTCCAGTTACAGTCCAACAAATTCCCCTGAGTCAGCAGTTATCATTTGATCATACATGCATACTAATTGACATTTCTCCCTCTTCAGTCACAGTCATACACACATATATATATATATATTTATATATATATATATACATATTTACATGCATAATTACAAAGTTATTGAAATATTAAACCTTCTTTTCCAGTGACACTTGAATGTCATGGTTAACTTTCTTTTCTTTAATTTTTTGTTCGAAAGATTTTTTTTCTTTCCGATTTGCTCCGTCTTTTAATCCACTTTTTCCACTTTGGCTACAATCTTTCCTTCCCATAATGGAAGCATCTCATTGTCATCGCGGATTTCCTCAAAAACAACTTCACTCTCAAATTCATTGCTCAACTTCTTAAAGAAAAACCTGCAAGACACAAAAGAACAAAATAATTAACAAAAAATAAGAAAGTCATTCTTTTAAAGTTAACAAGAAATAATTATCAAATATGTCTGTTATGTCAATTCATAGTGTCCATATTTCCCCGATATGATAAAGTGCTCATGTTAACCGATACAAACCTTATTAACATAAGTGTCAATCTTCCTCCCCATAATCTAACCAAATTTACTATACTCGCTCATAATTGTGGCCTGCTCTCCTACAATCTTGTTACAAATTTATTGTATAAACATCAAATAAGTTGTGCACACTATTATAGCAAGTTTTCAAGCAGGAGGAAAGTAGGGTGTATCTGCTAGCAGGTTGAAGGGGAATGAAGTGAGACCTTCTTTCATCTTCCCTTTCTTCTAATCATCCCCTACAATAACCCTCCCTCCCTAACAAAACAGCATGTTTTCAAAAGGAATATACTAGATAAATGGTGTCAAGACACTAATTTTTTTCATAACAGTTGATAAAAAGAGGACTTATCTATTAGCCATTATCTGTTGGTACCTCAGATGTCCTTTACACACCCTCCCTAAAAGGGGTGTTTAAATGTCCCCATCCTCCTCCAAATTTACTTCACACTTACCCACAGTAATTACACAGAATAGGTAGACAGTAATTCTAATACCATGGCATGAGATATTGTCTTCAATAGTGAGATAGTGAATCACTAGCTTTGAGTGCAGTATCTTATGAATTTATTCAAAACTTAATAACTTTCATGGTATGAAGTTCTTTTTGTTTCTTTTTCTTTCACATTGTTTGAGCATACACTAAAGACATGCCTGCCTGTTCTATAACCCCAACATGTTCCAACCACATATTTTAGATACTTTGAAGGGCCTCTTTTACCCCTACCTCTGTCAAATGTCAAAGACCTTACAAACGTTTAGATCATTTGCCTGGCTAGTGATCAGAGGAGTGACAACCTGTTTTTGTGTTCGATTTAGGACAGGACTTCAAACAATGACTCCTCATGCACTTTCAGAAACTGTTAAAGTGCAAACTGAAGACTTTTTCAATCACAATCACATTAATATTATCATATCCTAATCGCTAATTCACATTGCATGCTTTTAAGAAATCAAAACGTTTTTAACAGTATTCAAGACAACACTGTTTTTTTTTTTTAAACAATGGTTCAAATTTCTATAGTTTCACCAATGGGATGCGAACTTCAGAAAGTTATAATAATAATATGGACTAATCTATCCTGGCAATAACAACCTTTGCAGTACACAGAAATACATTCTTCCTACCTCCTGATCAAATTAGTATTTTATCTCCTTGATCATGTTACAGTGATATACTTACTTGAAGTTGCCCCGGCGGCCAATCAGATGTTTGAATTGCGCCAGTGTGACATGTGTCCCATGTACAGTATGGCGGTATGGGATAGGCTCCCCGCAGAAGAAATAGCCAATGATGACCTCGCCCCCCTCTGTAGGGGCAGCAGGTGTGGAAGCGCTGGTCCCCGAGGGTGCTGACCCAGATGTATTGGCACTGCTCGATGACGATTTCTTACTGCCCTTCTTCCTGTAACACACAAACATCAAACAACAATTAGACATTGAAGATTTTATCCATGTTCTATAATATAATGCAGTTCCAATGCTGGTTGTAATATCTTAATTGCACCAGTTTTACTACATCTTTTACCTTTACATACTCAACAGATAAATATATGGTGCCGAAGTTTAGGAAACATCTTAAAGAATATGATAACAAATGGAAGTTTATACATAGACACTGCTTTAAATTGAAAATGTTTGATGCAAGACACTAAATGTTTAAGACAAGTTCCTCTCGATAGTCAAATCTACTGAGAAAGTTAAACCACTGGTCATACGTACTCAGTAGAGTTACTGGCAACAGGTGCTTCAGCAGCAGAAAGGTCAAGGTCACTCGGTACGGTGCGTGTTGTCGGGAGTGAAGGTCTAGCAGATGACATGCTCTGCGAGATGAACATTGCTACCTTTTTCTCCTTGGATGGAACACCAGTGAAGGACCTACAAACATTGACAAGGACAAAATAAGTATGGCATAATCAGTTACCATAAAGCTATTACGTCACCTAATATCACCTAATATCTTTCATTAACATTTTACATCTTCCCTACAACATTGTTACTGTGAACAATAGATCAGGTAACCGTGACCTAGTTTTATGGATATGATGCATGTGTTCTTACTTGGACTTGACAGGAACAATGTGTGATTCCTCCAGCCTGCGCTTGGCTTCCTCCAGCTGAACAGTGGTGTTGGGTGGTGTGGGGAGAGGCATGGATGGGTCCTGGACAAATGGCTGTGTGGGCAGAGCTTGACCACCCATTGTCAACCACGGCTGCAACATTCCAGTTCTCTCCACAGAAGCTGATCGACTAGAACCATGTGTTGTTGACTTCTTGTTAGATCTGGTAATGCAAGAGTAATCATTTTTCAAATTTTGATAACGACATCTTGTATGTTTTGAATCTAGAACCTCTGGATCAGAATATTAGACATTTTATTCTTCAATCAACAACATAGAGCAAAGTATGTAAAAATACATGATAGTATAAGATCACAAAGTTAAAACTGGGTTTTCCCCAAAAATTTTCATTCACAGTTGAAGATTCCAACTAGTGCCTACCCTTGCTTGTGAGGAGTAGTTGCAGAAGTGGCAGCGCCTGACCGGAAACGTTTATGGGATCCGCTGGTGCGTTCAGTATCAGTGCTTCCTGTTGCACCGCTACTGACATGCTCGCTGTCCCAAGAATTGTCCCGCATCCAGCTCAGTACCCTACAAATACACAAAAAAAATTTTGTTCACAGTACTACCATTTCAAATTTAGCTAATATATTAGGTAAGCTTACAAACACAACATGAAGTGTCTGTACTTGATATGTTTTCTCAAGTCCCTGTGGCCATCCTGGATCATGGAGAAGCATACTTGTAAAATCATATCACTGGATATATTTGTCAGAGATAAGAACTGGGCCACTGTCACATTTAACATGCTATCTTTTCTTTATCATCCGTTTGAAGAGAATGTTACTGGAAAGATATCTATCTCTTATTATCCAACACTCTGATTGGAATGTCAACTTGCGACCACTCCTTTACTTTTATCACAAGAATTCAGCAAATCACGAGTATCCCCCCTCCCCCCCCCATTTCTATCAAGAGACCCCATACTAAGGTTAACATTAGATGAAGATGAATTATGAAAACTCAGATAACTTTAATTTTATAACGTCCATATAATTTTTTATCTTGAAGTGTCAAATACTAAACAGACCCCTAATAACCTCAGACAATGGCTATGGCGCTTTATTATCATGTTTGTCCCCTCCAGGGACCCCCCTGACAGTAAAAGACAAATCATACCATTCCTTATAATGCTCTCCTGCCCTTATAGCTGTACCTTATCATATTTTTATTTTGTGTCAAGTCATGTTTGCAAAGGTTGACAGGTTTTGTAGAGATTGTGCCCATCTTACTGCAGAGTAGCGTGCAGGGGCCTTATCTCCACACTCCGAGAGGCAGTGTACAACATCCTAACAACATAATCAGAAAGTTCTATCGTCTTCATTCATAACCAATTATTTCTTTATGGTTATTATTATATCTAAACGCAGTTTTCAGGCAAGTTATGACTTTCCGATTACCTCCAACAACATGTGGAAAGTTTCAATGCATGAATGTACAGTTTTGTTTCTTTTCCAACAAACAGAAAGCACCTTATTTATAGCAGCTCTTCGACATGCACTTAAACATGTTTGCCTGCTACACAAAACAGCGAACTAAGGGGAAACAATAAAGAAACAGAAGGAAACAGTAGCAAAGGAAACACAGTAACATATGGCATAAGTTGTTTTTCTCTGTTATCAAACTCTAACATAACCCTTCCTATTTTTGAAACTTATCTGGAAAATTACAATTTTTTATCTTTTCATTTTTCCTTTTTTTTTATTGTACTGAAAGATGCTTGATGTTTGATAATTAGTATGATGTATATAAATAAGTAGTATGATGTACATAAACAATTTGTATGATAAACCTAAATAAGTTGAATGATGTACCTTAATAAGTAGCATGATGTATATAAATAAGTTGTACGATATATATAGATAAGTTGTATGATGTATATAAACAAGTTGTACGATGTATATAAATAAGTAGTATAACGTATGAAAATAAGTAATATGATGTACATAATTTTAAAAATTGATGTACATTAATAAGATGTATAATTAGTAGTACAATGTATTAAGTGTAATCGAGATGAAAGGAAAAGTGAAATAATGTTACAGCTCCACCATGTAAAATGTGCCCTGTTATTATCTCGGGTGTAATTACATGGGAAGTCCCGAGTCTTTCCTTTTTGTGTTGGAGTGTCAGCTTGATCACTTGTTTATCAGTAACAACATACTGAAAGTACAGGGTACTGCAAAGTACATTCAAATATTGCCAAGAGCTACACTACCATATGGAGGAATTTAAAGCTCTGCTCCTCTCCTTCAACTCAACCAAATAAAAAAGATAGTGGTGGAGAGAAGAGAAAAAAACCAATAGTCTTGGTATGTATCAGCTTTCTGTGTGGTACAAATTGCAGAGGTTCTGGTGGCCCTCATAGATTATAGCGTCTTATATGCCTCCAGTAGTGGAGTTGATGAGGGGTCCCTCCTACCTCTACGCCAACCTATTCCTTGCTCAGGAAAACTATGACAAGCATGTTTGATAATTTCTGTGTAATTTGTAAAGTGCTAAAGGAGACATACACAGCCCAAGTAGTGTCACTTCCCCAGGTCCTATTGCATGTGTTTATATACCTCTCCCTGGCTACACAAGTTCTTACTCCCCTTTTCAATTCTATAAGGACACTCAAAACCTTTTAATATATATATTATTACTATGAAAATATTTTCGTATCTTCTTTTTACTTTTAATTCTTATATGTCCAAACAAAAATGATCTTTATCATGACTAATGCTTATCAACAGGAACTTGAAAAAGATATTACTGCCTTTTTTTTCCCTTCCCGTTTTCCTCCTCCCCTCTGTTACACTTCAAAGCTGGTGAACAGACTTGTACATTCTTGTATAAAGTGAATCAGGCTTGTAAACACAAGATAGACTTGGTGTTCCAACATCTTACAATCATCATGATATTAATTAGCAAACCCTATGCTGCCAGTACTTCAAGCAACCATCATTTTCAAAGCCCTCCCCTTTCTTTTTTCATTTATTTGCTATTTATAACCTAATGCTGGTACCAAATGATACATGGCGGGGAAGCTGCCAGCACTGGGGGATGTGGCCCTTTGATGCATGGTCCGATTTCAGCATAGGCTAGTGATCCTAGAGTCTCACAGAAGCCTGCTGGCTGCATGGCCAAATGCTAGCCCTGACAGATGCTCTCCGTAGCTACAGCTACCACACTCAAATTCCTTCAAAAGCTTTGCCCTATAACTCTCCATTGTGCCTTGTACAAAAAGCAGCCTTTTGAAACTGGATAGGGATAATTAAGGACTATTCATGATCAATTATGGCCCACAATTTATCTCCCTTAGATCAAAGACCCTCGTCCCAATACAAGTTTCAATTTTTCAGACTGATTCATTTTCCAGGGTATTTGAATCTTGTACAAGCCAGGATTACAGACAGGAAATTAAGACAAGAGAAATCATAAAGTGGTCTGTGGTTTCTCTTCTCTAATAATCTAGAGTATCTGAAGCCCTATTGTATACAGTTAAATACATAAACTTGTCAGTAAATAAATCTAAAAAGCAGTCAGACACTATAAAAGGCTTCACTACATCCATGTTCAATATTATCATGTCTGATATATCAATCATAATACTATGAATATCAATCTATCAAAAACTTAATTTAGATGTTATCTTCACAAATCCTATCACACCAATTCAAGGATTTTATACACACTAGATAAAGGGGATTTATGTGAACAAAACATCTTGTCACCTAATGATAATACAACATTTAAATGAATCTACATGAGCCATTTGAAAAAAAAAAGCTGTTTTTATGAAATGACAAAAGCTATTGTTTATTGGTTCAGGGCTGACTGATGAAGGACCCCAAGTGATTTCATAATTAACAGTCACAATGGGGGAGATATTGGAGCTTGGTCTAGTTGTGAAGCAAGATTTATGTAACAGATGCGAGTTGGTATCCCACACAGCAGGGATTCTCTACAAGCTGTGGATGACATTCAAATGTTGGTGTTTCTTAATATGATAAGAGGATCTTTGATCTACTCTAACTGCTGAAAGCCTGTATGTGTGCCCCCACTAATTTTTACAGATTCCTTTTATCAGAAAATCCTGAATCTGTAGAATCATTGGGTTCCTTACAGCAGAGGCCCTGGACTGCTACATACATCAAAGGGCTGTGTTTACTTTGAAGCCTTCAGTAAGGTTTGCCCAGACTTAAATTATTCAATATAAACAGCACATTCTGTTTAACATGTTGTAGCATGCTAGTCTACAGTGTATCTTCCTTATTTTACAGTTGGTAGTACCAGTTTCTCCTGATGCTACTTTCTCTTCTACTGAAAGGGTTGAATTATCTCCCTTGCAAAACAGGTCAATCTTTACAACGACCTACTAATGTACCATAGTCAACACTACATGAACTTTGATAGTGTCACTTTACCCTTGGGACAGATTTCCTTGTCATCCAATTGTAAAACAGCCTGAAATAAATCTTTTCAAGTTGTAGATCAGATTGTCTCTTGATAAATCTTTTCAGGGTCTAGATAAGATTTTCTCTGATATCTTATCCAAGGAAACTACCATAATGTATGACATAAACACCATACAAAGATATACTGTTACCATGGTATCAACCATACAAGGGGGCCCTTTAAATATTGGTTAAAATTCAAAGACAATCACCATCAGAACTCATCATGACCGAAAACGAGGCCTGGTATGTAATGGTCTTACCAATTTCATATTCTTTCTACTTCAAAATGAATATCATTGAATTCAATTGAAATGATTTTTTGAATTTATACTTACTTTTCTGTAGAGGGATCCAGAGGAGCATTTGGCACAGCCATTGGTGATATAGACTCAATCATGCTAATTCCACTGTCAATGTTGCTGCTTGTATCCGAATGTTTACGATTAGTACGGCGTGTAGTCCGTCCCCTATCAGTATTATTAGTTTCACTATTTCCTGACCCGTGTCCACGCGCACTATTAGAATTCACATCACCAGGCCAACAACTCACATGTTGTTGTGCCTCATATTCAATATATGTCTTGGACTTGGGGTCACGAGAATGATGGTGATGATGGTGATGGTGTATGTGACGATGCGTTTCCACAGAGGGTTTGTCCTCACCCATTCCACTGTCAAATGAGGAATGATAGTCTGGACGTTTCTTGTGAAATGATTTATTATTGTGCACTGAAGATGGCAAGGTATTGGGCAAGGGCAGTGTCTGATTAGCCGAGGACTTGCGATCAGCTGCCGACCTCTTTAACGACGGTGACTGTCGTCCAGGCGACCGAGTGGGTGTCTGTTGAGCAGAGCTCTCCCATATTCGGGACACATGTTCCTCCAGAATGCTATTGGGATTGTCGTCGTCCATTATCACAGCAGATGTCATTAAAGGCATAGAGGTAGCAGAGGATGTGTTCCTCAACACTGCCGACCGGTCAAGAGACCTGTCTAACCTGTCCATTGACCGATCCATCGACCGATCTATTGAGCGTTCTATAGACCGATCAAGGCGTTCCAGTCGGTCAACTGAACGATCCACAGACCTGTTCAACATTGATCTGTCTCCCTCCTCCAAGTCAGACTACAAAGAAACAAAGAATACATTGTAATCGCTCTTATATATAACCACTTAATATAAAAATGCTACAGATTTCTTCCAGCTTCTGTCATAGTGTTAAGTGACATATCCTTCATATCCTGTAAGTGATATCCTTGCAAATGAAAAATTCTATTATAAAATCTTTGACTTGAAGAATGTCCTCTCTAATGACACTCAAGATTATTATTATAAACTAAACAGGGGCTTTTAAACAAAAACTACTGATATTTTCTGTAATAAATACAACATCAGCAACATTACCTCTAAAATTCTACTCATAGATTCATTCAGTTTCTCTTCTTTTTCTCGCTCCTTCAAAACTCTTTCAAGCTTCTCTATCAACATGGCAGCAAACTTTTTAGGATTGACTTCAGCAATGTTGGAGTCCTTTGGTGCTCTTTGAGTACGCTGCAAAACAAGGATAACATTCTGTGTAAACTCATAGATAAAACCTTCCTTTTACTATATAATCTGTTTCATGTCTTGTATGTGTCCTAATCCAAATTATGGACCTACAAATTAAAGTTTCTGTATTGTTTTCTAAACAATAACTGCTTCATTTTTTTCAGTTTTTTTTCCCAGAAACAACCTCAAATATACAAGTCCATTAATTATTTTTATGTTTATTTATACAGTGATTTCTAATCAAAACATCAGCAAGTTATTTCTGCCGAGGAGCCAGCAATGAAAACGTTTCATGTCCATATGAAAGGATTCCTATAGGCTTAAAGCTTACAACACAATAAAAAGAGCCTGATGATGGGACCAGGAGAGACTGTGTGTTTATACTGTATATAAATATATATCAAACACCTTGATGCTTTTTTTCTACATGGATGTCATACTCTCTGTTAACAGTGATCTATCAACTATGAAAACAGGCTTTGAGTCAACAAACATGATACAGACCAACCTGAACCATCAAAGCTTGTTTTCAAGTCTTTGTTGTCATCCGATTGTTTTTGAAAGAGTATATCCTCCCGGATGTGCATATTTCATTTGTTCTTGCTTTGGGTTGGTTTATTTATTATGGATCAAATGAAAGTATTATTGCAGCACATCAAAAAGACCAAAAGAAGTGTTCATTAATTTTTGAAACAGATGCAAAATTGATGCTGCTTGATTAGAAAGTGTTCTGTTAAAATAACAAAGGGGGTTATTTCCGCACAGTATCAAATATACCTGTTGAACAACTTGTCATATTAGTACAACAAGCTTCACAACCCTCTTTACTCCTGTTTCTTTGTGTTATCTCTATGAAATCTTTCAACAACAAAAAAAATCTCAAGTGTCCATTTCCTTATATCCATATTTACATAGAAACAATGAAAAAACAAGTGTGTTCATCATTAATTAAACAACACACAAAAAAGCTGATATCCCCTTCAAAGGTCATACTTTGTTTAAGTGTAACTTCTGAAGTATGGCTCTGCCTGTTGTTTTGTTTTTACAAAGGCAACAGGCAAAGTGACGAAGCTCTCAATACTTTATGAAATATGCAGGTAAAATGTGGGCACAAACATTTAACTGATGATGGTGTTGTAGATGAAAGGAAACCACAAAAGACCGACTTTTCTTTTGCTTCACTTTCAACAATCAACCTAACTAGAAACACAGGGCTGTGATCTAACAGCTGGGAAACACTTGAAATCCAAGTATGGGTGTGTCAGTTTGGTTTTTTTTTTTTGTTTTTTTAATTCATACTTTTATTTTTTGAATCACAAACAGATCTGAAGGAGTTGAAAAGTTGTTTGATTTAAGTACAAAGAGCCCAGGGTGAATCAATTAAAAGAGTGTCTTTTAGGTGCAAGGTATCAGTGTTAAAAGAAGGTGGATCTCCCAGCAGAAAAACAATCTTTAAACTCCGAGAAAAAGTGCATTTTTGTGTTTAAGTTTTCACATTGTTGAATAACAGAGTAATTGGATGTTCTAGTTTAAGTGGGACCCACCAGATGTACCAGAGGGGTAAATAAGGGGCTTTTAGAAGAAATGTGGTAGACTTATAGCTGAAGGAGCAGCAGACACATCTAGGATCAGACAGGGACAGACTACAATATCTTCATAGTGTTTAAGTGTTCAGTAGCCTAGCACAGAGTTCGAGGTACATACAGGTATAAACTGCTGATGAATTCCACTCTCCCGGTTTTGTTCTGCCCGTTTGCGCATTGCCCGGCGTTGCCTTTTCCACATCTTATCATTGTCACTGGAAGATAAAAAAAGATAGGAATTAATAATTAACATTTGAAAATATTCTTATTACAAAATATATCTGATTGAAAAATACGAAAATTTCTCAATCAATTTTTTTTTATCAACATTATCCCGCAGTAAAAAATTTCAAGTATGAAATATTGGCAGTTGAAAAATACAAAACTTCCAAACAAAAGCTAGTCATTTTGTTTAATTCGGAAATATCAATATTATTCCACCCACCATACCCAGATATCTTCAGTTTCTGAGGCCAGTTCTATTGATCGTCCAATACGGACATCTGTGAATTGGTCAGGCTGGACATCATTAATACAATTTCTATCTGCCTACCCACTAACACTATAACATTAAAAGGCCAAAAAAGACCATTGATTAATGCATGGCTGCCTACAAGAGTTATTTATCCAATGCTATTAAACAATTTCAGGTTCTATTTGTTTGGCAAACACACCCAGACTACACACATGTACAACATGGGGAAATATCAGTTTTGTAAGCATACAATATCCTTTGAGGTTGGACATCAAAGGAATTTCAGTCTGCTGCCATGTTGCCTTGGTGTAGTTAACTCTGTGTCACTGTTCACTGTCATTAGCCAACTTTTCAGCTTAATTTACACTACATGTGCACAGCTGTTATGAGGGCCCTGCTAAAAACGCTGTTCAAAGGCTCAAGTTCTAATTATTGACAGAGCCTGACTTAGCTCAGCCATTGTGTGTGTGAACACTTGGCTCAGAAGACTCTGATCCAATCAAACACTGTGCATCACAATTATTAATCGTCAAACCAGTAATTATTGTACTATTAATCACAATGTAGAAAAACAACCGGCTATCTACATGTAATATGTGTTTGGCCTGTATTAAAAAAGGTCATAACTGCATTTGATCTTAGTTCTTTTTAAGTCCTTTTATTTCCATATTTCATGTCTTTCATCCTACCTAATTCCATAAAAGTATTGAATGATTCTGCAAACAACAAACAGTCAATTCATTAAATATTCCTTTTTAACTCGTTTGGTTCTCTCTCAAAACCCTGTAAAGTTGGAGCTACCTGCTGGTGCATTTTACTGCTGTATGCTCCTATCGGACATAAAACCACACAAATGGCTCGGATCTTTAGAGTGAATTTTACAAGTCTTAGGATCACAGGTAAGTTTCCCCTTGGGAGGCCCCTAACTGGTCTAAGCGAACCTCTTCAAAGCTTTCAGTGGTAATGCAGGCTGGATGGAACACAGGTATACTTCAAAGGGAAATCCCCATAAAAGATTGTATTGGGTATGAGCAAAGGGCCATCGAAGCGGGGATCAAAGGCTCCGAAAACAATAAACCGCTTCAAAAATCTACCCAAGCAAGGATTGACTTGAGATAATTAAATTATGGCTAAAGTAAAATACAGGTTCCCTTACTGTAAAGGCCAAGACTGGTGCTTTGAAATAGCAAGAAGTGTATCAATTCACTGTACGTCTCAATGGAGTTTTAAAAATATTTTTGAAAGAAAAATATTTATAAAGTTGTTTTTATACAAGTAAACAGAGATGTCACTATCTGCGTCAATGATCAATGGCATGTGATTACTTCATCTCAAAAACTACTATTTTCAGTGCAAGCGAAACAGATTAGTTCAATGTGTAGCAATAACCTCCTTTTTCCCAGCATAGGAGTGGGATGGGAACCAGACTTCAAAGGAGACGGCAGGGAACCAAATGATGGTGACAAATTTACATCAAAATTAAGACATCAAATTATTTACATCCAGAAATTCAAACAGATATCCTTCATTCATGTTTAAAAGTCAGAAGGTTTTGACCTTTTAAATTGAATATTCATTTCTACATAAAAAATTTATTCAAAAGTTTATCATTTTGTATTGTAATTATAAGATGTGAAAAAGTTTTACCATGTTCTTAAACCTAAAAAAAATTCTAATTCTAAACCAAACAGTATTTATTGCACCTCCTGAAGTTTTTGCTAGAATTCTAGTGAAGTTGCAACACTGTCAGTGTGGTATCTCCGCTAGGTGTGGGGCTTTTGAGATTTTAGGTGAAACAAGTACACAAGGCCCTAGACAAGATGTATACACATACAGCCTTACTCCTAGACTGACCCTATCTCCTAAATCGCTGATCAAACGAAACAGGATACCTGTGCGCATTTATCAATTTGACACCATTTACGTTTTCACTCTGTCATTTAAACCAATATGAATGCTAGCATACCACTAGAAAGAAAGTCATTTTACCGATTTGTAATCCTGTTCGCCCTAGTAATACAAAGTGGATTCTTCTCTCTCTGATTCAGCAGAGTCAATTCTCCCTTAGGAGGTTAAATCTATGCTGGCTGGTTGTACAGCTGCATTCATTTATTTAATAATATACATATTTCAAATGAAGTGAAAATGCTGTGTACCTGTTGGTTATTACAACACAGCTAACTCAGGTGTTCGACTAAAGAAGCCTCTTGCACTAACACCAATCTCTATATGTGAGCAGTAACATTCTCTTTACCTTCTGTCTTCAATATCCCATAAAATGCATAAGCTGATATTGGCCTCTAACACAACTTCAAGTTGCAAAGATTTTCAAGTTCTGAACAAAAGGGATGAGAAACTATCTGTTTACAGATAGTGTTTCTAGCACTTCTTTGTACTGGAATTCAATGTTGAAAATCAAACAACAAATGAAAAATTGAACCGATACAAACAAACAAATTTAGTTGGTCTACCAAAGAAATAATATCCAAGCATGCTGGTGCTCTTTCATTCAGCCGAGTATATGTACTATTAAATATTCTTCTTGCAGGATAGAATAGTATTCTTTCTGAAGGATCCGAGTTTTTTTTAACTGGCAAGACAATGTAAACCCAGTATATAATCTTCAAAATATCTGTTTTTTTTTGATAAATTAATTCCCAATTTGACAAAAAAAATCTTGATACCATACCAATTTTATCCCATCTCTGAACTGAGAAACAAAGCAGTTCTACTATTATAAGCTATAGATATGGCAGGACTCATTCGTCGATAACTATGGGAGACATTCCTATCGACCAATTTCTTATCCTTCAGTCATGATAATCCAAGTCGATCAATGTTTTCAGAATGTCAATTGATAAAAGTTTACTACTTACACACTGCTGTCAATTGAGCGCGTGTCATCAGTCAAGGCATCACTGGACAAACTCTGTATCTCACTGTCCTGGGCTGATACTGGCGCGTAGGACACATGGTAAGGATGAGCCAAGGGCGTCCGTGGGGCAAATGGCACAGGAAAACTACAAAAAAAACACAAAACAATTCAGAAAATTCATGATCCTTCATATTTATGGATCCGAAAATATTCTAAAAGATCGTATTGATTAGAGAACATTTATCAAACTAACAAACATCCATAAATTGTTTCTTAGGGAATCAAATCCATGTATAACACATGATGCCTACATAACTGACATAAAGAAAAACATGAATATTCATGAGTAGGCTGAAACAATAGGTAATATGTAAACCACATTATGAATGTAATATATATCAGATTAATTTTACAATCAATCATTCAGTCTCACAGAATACAATTACATACATCAAAAAGAATCACAGTTGTTGAATGTTTTTCAGAGTATCACTTTCACTTTTTTCTGAGTTTTATATGGCATCATATTGATTCCTCATGTGTCATTCTATACTTTTGTTTTATATTTCACAAATTGTGTTAATCTTCGTTCTCTTTTTATTTTATTGTTGATTGAACGCCTCGGGCTACACTTGTGTGTTTGAGTGGAAACAACCACTTTCAGTTCCTTGTACGAATGTAAACAATGCTAAGAATGAAGGTGATAATGAATGTCAGATGTCATGCGAGTGTTTGAATGAGATGATGATACTGTTGTAAGAGTTTATCTGAATAAGAGTTAGTCATACTTATTAATTTTTACATTATCTTTCTAGTCATACTTTTTATTTTAAATTATCTGTTAAAAAGGAATTACTAGCTATACTACCTTGCAAAATTTAATTTGTAATTTTAATCCTTGTCAAGTTATTTTTTGCACTTTATTGTTTATATTGGGGATGGAAGATGGCAAAGGCCATACAATTCAGTAATTTTGGGGACTGAGATTCGAGTTCTACACTCATGTGTTTCCACTGAATCTCTTAAATTTTGAGGACCCACAATATCTCCTGGTAATGGGACTCGTCAAAATTTTGGAAATGGTGTTCTAGACTCGGCTGAAAATATCCAACAATTATTAGTGCCATTCAGATTTACAAGGCAAAGGCCTGAACCATAGATGTACCATGTGCCATTAGAAAAATGACACAATGTAAATTCAATAAGGAAGATTTTTTTCAGTATGTAGAAGATGAAACAAATTGCTTCTCAAAAGAGCACTGGTGTTAATATATATATATCCATTTCAAACATTTATGAACTACCATATCTAGGTGGGTATTCTAACAACTGCATTTAGTTGTAAAGAGATTCACATAAAGTATTTTGTGTGGTACTCTAAGATTTTACCAGACTCACTGATTAGCTCTGGGACTTGCTCTTTTCAAACAAAGCAGAGTGCAGGACTCACTCACTGATCCTAAATCCTACAAAAATTATTGGGAACATACAGGTAATATGATAGGTGTAAAGACTTTTTTTTGTAATTGTGGTCACCATCTTGAGTGAACACGATGTATGTAATGAATTTGATGGAGGCTAGGTAACACACTATTGTATATAATTAGTGAGTAAAATCAGACGGTTGTTGTGTTCAGTGAGATTCTATGGTAATTACTGTAATTATGCTACAGAAGAGACCTTCAAACCCATTCACTCACTGTACACATGCATCCAGTGATGTAGATCGGGCGTGGTATTAATGTCTACAGGTGCACTTGCACAAAATATGCTAAAACATTTCTTTAGTGCTACTAAAATACTATTTCAAACACAATCATTCAGTGTTTTCTCTAATAAACAATATTTTAAATCTTTTTATCTCATTGGATTATAACAGTTATTGAGGAAGTCACATTTAAAATCTCTCTTCACTTTTAGGTGAAAAATAAACAAGAAAATAGTATAATCAAACTGCCAATGTGTTTCCCAGTAATAATCAAAACACCAGCATATCAGATCAAAAGATCTTGATATTTAGGAACACTTAGTTATAAAACCTTCCTCCCCGCTCAAGGAGGCAGTCGTGAGTAGAGAAGGCATCTCTACTGGAACAACACTGGTAAAGCCCTACCACCAAAAGCCTCAAGTGCTCTCTGGCACAGATCAAAGCACCCATCAGACCATGAATTTTCCTATCATCTAAGTATGTGCCCTCACTTCAAGCACTAACCTACATCGAGCTGGGTTTTTTATCCCCTCTCTTTTGTGTGCGTGTATGTGTGTGTGTGAGTGCAAGAGCTCAGTCGACAGAGAGATCTTGAACATTTTAAAATTCTATCATGGGTTATACGATACACTAGCAGGAATCTTAGTCAAGACAAGAACAGGACTAGATGGTTTTGTTTATAGCAAGTAGGATCAAACATAATATTGTTAAATAGTTGAAAGAATTAAATTATGGTAAATATCAAACTCTTAAATAACCAATATCATTCCTCTAAAGATATTTTAAAGTTAAAAAAAATATTCAATCATTTAATATACATGTATATATATTCCAAGATGGAAGAGTACATCTATCATAATTCAGAAAATCTGTTTTTATTCCAATATAAAGAATTCAGAATATATACAAAAAAAAAAACTGGCCTTGTACAAAAGTAGGCTACAGACTTTCATCTGGTGGGAAAAAAAACTAACTACAAATAAAAGTCTTCTTTGATTACTTTCCCTAAAACAAACAAGAAATAGATGAAACAAAAGTGAGACGAGTCAATTTCTGTGTACTGTTTACCAGGTAGAAGTGTTCTGGAGGGATTTCTCTCATCAACCAAGTGGAACCTATCAGTGAGTAGTCTATGTGATCTGGCTCAAGCATGCGTACTGCCTTACTACTATACAGCATACCTGTCACCAAAACCTGCTCCCTATTCTTGAACCGTATGACATAACAAGAACAGATTGGAAGGGAGATGGACAAAAACCAGCAACTCCATAAAAAATCACTTTCTTAAATAGTGTCCTGATATTACCATCAACAATACAGATGCTTAAAGCAGAATTCATCTGAGCTATGTTTTCCGTTTTAACTTCCTAACTTGCTTTGATGTCAACTTTGTTCAATAATTTATCACGTTAAACAAACACAAGTGCTTGGCAATTTTCCAATCTAAAACATAAAAGGCGAAAAACAGCTTTGAGAATTTAATTGACTGTCACAAGTTTTTAAGTCAATTTTCTTAGTCAAATATGAAAGAATAATAAACTTAAACCATTATGAAACTATAAAAATAAGTACAAGTGGAGAATTGAAAGCTATAACCATAAATGTTTTTCAGTATTTACTTCATAATGCCCTGTTTAGTCTTGTCTATATCAATATAATGCAACAAAACTGGGTCAAAACAGGTGAGACAACGTTTTAGCAATGAAAGCTCATTAGCACACACTTGTGAACTGCCCAGGTGGAATGAGGCAAGGCCCATTGGACAGGACAAAGCCAGTCGATGAACAGACCATGGCCAGTGTACTTGATGCCCCCTAGTCATTAAGCCCCTCCATGTAAATCTGTACACACAGCCTTGTAGACTACAGAGAAGCTACAGATTTCCTATGACCTCCTTGGCTAGTACATAGTAAAGCAACTTCAGCCAAATTAAAGCATCGCAAAGATTTATTGGATCAATGCAAGCCTATTGGCTTTAATGTCGCTCTGCCTACTGCTGTTCTAGAAAAAGTGGATTTAGATTGGCACAGTTTGGAGGGCAAGGAAACAAAGTTATAATATACCAACACAGAACACTACAATACAAGAGTTGTTTACAATCACACAAGACCCGAGATGCCAAAATGCCACCAATTTTCTCTTCATCTTGTTATTTTTATACTTAGTTTACCTTTTTTGGCAAAGATCTGATTTAGGTCTACATTACTTTACTCCACGAGAGCAATCATTACCTTTTAGCTATATGGATCATGTATTACAGTACTACAATACACAACAGATATAACATAAAACCATTCTATCCGGTTCAGCGTTGGTAAATTTAGAACTGTTCACAACTGTGTTTACAAACCATGGAATAGTTATCTGGGTAATACAAGGGTGTTAGGGTATATTCCACTATGTGTACTAATTACCACTGATTGTTTGATCAAGCTTGAGTCATACAGTGCAACTTTAATCAAAGAATCATTTATTAAAATTTTGGGAAAACAGCCAGTTTTATAGAAATGTTCCACACTATAAGGTAATGTGGTACACATGCATTTCTTACAATACACTTACAGATGCTTATTATGTACCACATATTTTAAACCTCCGGGTTATCAACAATATCCGGCTATCGGCCGATTAACCCCTCTGTAATTTGATTTTGGCCAGTTGTTTTCACCAAACATAGTTTTACAAAAAAAATCTGACTGAAAAAGATTTCTCAGCGTGTTGGTTATATTAAGACACTAATACATTAAAAATGAACAAGTAAGATGTTACACTTGTTAACTCTGGGACCTTGTGTGTGGGCCTGGTGGGTACATGTTGACAAACTAGTTCATCCTTTTTTCAATGTCACATTTCAGGAATAATTCCGGACTTGCCTACAAATGTTAAAAGGTCTTCACAAACTTTGTCAAGGTTTGCCAGAATTCAACGTCTGACAACTTAAGTCTGTTACTACTTCACTGATTTGCGCCGACAGTCCACAATTAGTCTAATTTTTTAAAATCTAATAAACTCTGACAGTTCATTAAATTTAATATGCTTAATCAACTTAGTGTTTGTTATCTATATTTGACATGTTGCATGTTGTTGACAGTTCAGATGTTCCCATGTCAGTATGTTCAAACTAATGGTGCTTCGCCTCCCTTGACTCTAAGACAAGGGCGCTTCCCTTGAACCCCAAGGCGCTACACCCCCCCCCCCCCTCCCCCATCAACCAACCCAGGTCCATTCTTTTAGTCAATCCAGTTGAAACAAATCACCTTTCATCAGGTAATACATCAAGATACAACCTTGTGTTGCAAGAAGTCTTTGTAAAGCTGACAAGTCACTTGTATCTCTTGTAATTTTATGGTACTATGAAATTAAAATGAAATTGGCACTAGATTTTAAGTGATGTATACCACTGATCTTAACATTTTGTATTCCTACTTCAGTTTGGTACTGATCATCTTAAGATGACCTCCGATTCCTCTTCCACTTTCATTACCAAGTTGTTGAACCGAAATCCACAATCTGTAAGTAAAACAACAAGTAGTAAAGGCTGTGAGAGATCCTTACCTACTGAAGGCTTCTGAGGAGTGTTTTTTAGCACCAGAACTTTCCCCTTGGCTTGACCTTGACACATTTGAACTTTTACCACTAATAGGGGGTCCACATACTGACGAGGACAGGTGAGTCCCATTTGTTTGAAGTTCTTGGTCCTCCATAAGCGTGGGAAGAGGTCCAACAGACACTGGCCGTGTAATGGACCCACTTGAGGTGTTACTGCTCTTGGGACTCTCCCCACCCTTCTGGACATATTGCACATACAAATCAGATTTTATAAATAATGGATAGGTATTATTCCGCATGTCTTGTTCCACTTCCGTCTGTGCCTCATCGAAAATCTCACGATTGAGGTCCACACGTTTTTGTAACTTATCATGTATATCCTTTTTTGTAGCTTCACTTATACACGGCAGTTTATCCGATTTAATATACTTTTTATGAATCACACGTATCACATTTGCAATGCTTTCACCAGAATCCTTCTTTTTCAGACCCTGGCAAGCAAACCAGAATTCCACAGCATATGACCCAAGACCTTCTTGGACCAAGAAGTTCCGAAATTGCTCTACACCTTGTAAATCCTCAAGTAAATAATTGAAATTCTCTGCCCATTTCATGAAAGACGGAGTACTGTTCTCATTGAACGGTGGCGAACTTGAGGCACTCCCCTCTGGTTCAAAGCCCAGAGGGGCCATGTCGTCATCGTCTATGCAGCTTACACTCATTGACTGGGCGGACTTGTTGGACCGACGGGGAGTAACAGCAGGGGAATCTCCTCGGTTGGACCCCATACTCTTGGAGGATGTCTGACTTTTGTTTGACAACTGGCTTTTGTGCGAGCCACTACTCCGTGTAGAGACTCCTCCGTTCGAAACCAGTTCATTTTCCTCGCCGTAGACTGGGGGTCGGATAGCGGACTCCGTAAAGTTGCTTCCCCCTGACTCATTGAGGAACTGATGTACTTTGCTTGTCATCTTGCAGACATGGTACTGGTCCAACGAAGAGATCAAAGTGTCAAGTCATCATCTAAAATTGAAACAAAGATTTAATATTTTGAGCAATATCTATCGCAGGAGTATTATACAATATCCTAATTTCATCTTGGACACAACCATCAAGTGTTCAATAAGGCAGATAGCGTTCATTCCATTTCCCACCTCTTGCATGTATAAAAAGGATTAAATTACATCATTCGAACCACAACACTTTGTAGTACTGGGTTTAAACATGACCGCAAGCTACAAAAGATACACAATCAAAGTTATATGACTTATTTACACACTTGTATTATAAGAATTTTCAGCTTTTGAAAACAAATGTTCCAATTTTTAATGCCTCTGATCTCATAGTCAAAAGCACATTATCAATCATGTACACATGTATGCAGTATAAAATGGTCTATGTTAAATGTTATCGTAAATAGTAGTATTTTAGTTACCTATGCAGCTGCAGTGAGTGACTGGGTGGGCTTACATGTAACTTAACAACAAATTTATCAGAAGTTGGCAAGGTAGAATTTATGGAGGTGCTTTCCTTCATCCCCCAACACTATGAAAACATCAATGACTGCCTATAGCAAAATGGAGTCATATAATTTCTATTTTCACTTCATATATTCTTCATGAAATATCATTACAATTGTATTTGTGCATATCAGTCGATTCTCAAGTTTGTGGCTTTCAACCAAATTTCTGACCCCGTTTCTTTTTGAATGAAATCCCACATCGGTGTAAGCAGCTCGAATACAAACAATGAATTGTTAAATCTGGAATAAAACACGTCTTCGATGTTTATATATCTATCGAACAGCTAAGAAATATCCCCTTACTTACATTTCTTTCTCTAACATCACGAAATCAGCACCGTTTACAGCAAGAATTAGTGAAATTGTTCGGTATTACCACAATCCACACAGAGGACATGAGGCCGCCATTATAGCCTATGCAAATATCGGGGGCCAAGAAGGGGGAAACGGTATAAAAATAAGAATATCAACATTGTTGTACTTTGTGTTAAAATGAAAAGTTTTCATTGCGTTTTCATTTGTACTGCTTTATTTAGCAAAAAATTAAATGACAAATTTCTTCATTTTTTACACATAGAAGATATACACAATTAGTGAATTTATCAATAAAACAAAATTCTTCACAGTGCATATATGACTATTCATGTTAGGAAGTGCTCTTATAAATTTCAATGTATTATTGTTTATAGAAGTTATACAGCAGTAAAATCACGGGTTTATCCATTACTTTTCGTTTGTTATTTTCTTCGTTTGAAGAATGTTGGACATGAAATTTCATAATATCGTTTGATTCATTACGTTATTAACGATAAATGCTGTCATTGTAAACCGAAGCCGTACTCGTACTATCGAGCACCTGCTCTCATCAATTAAAACTGGTAATTGGATTTTTTCATGATTGTTGGTAACACCTAAATCGATATCGGTTCAGTACAAAAAACAAACAATTACTGATACTGAAAACATTCATAAAAGTGAGAATATTTTTACACATTACCAGCGGAATTTATAAACACGTTTTCACACAACAAAATAAACAACGCTTCACCATACGAGTATAATAAAATACACCCAAGGTTCCTCATTCGATAATCCATAGAATTTCCACACACATAAGACATTTTGGGAATGCTCATAATATTCACCTACGGATCTGTTGTGCTGTCTAAAATACGAAATCCTTGCTATTCAAAATAGTCCGTATGAAAGTAGGGAGTAGAAATCCTGTGTGAAACCTTCCCTAGTCAAGTTTTAGTGAGATATACACAGCAGATGAAACACAATGTAAAAATAACACGTACCTGTTCCGATTTGCTTCTTATGCATATAAAACAAAAATGGCGTCTCACTAATTTCAAAGTTTTGAATCCGAGACGATTCTAAACATCAAAGCCACATGCCCGCCGCCGACAATCCTTGTTACATAGTGACGTCACAAGCCTTTAGATGTACCGCACCAATCAGCGGGAAGATAAAATCAGCATTCACAAAAATGTTTTTGGCGAGTCCAACATGCCAAGGGGTATCAGACTGGTGAACGTAAATATAAAATTCGATCATAATTACAGTTAGATAATATGACTGCAGGCGATATTATACACATTTCAGAAAATTTAATGTAAACCTGATTTTATATGATAGACAGATATGGCCCCTTTCATAATTATAAAAAAGTCGTTTTAGTCAACCTGGTCTCCCCTTCACCTATTTCTAACATTTGATAGCTTCCGATAGACAACAGTCAGTAGGGAGAATGTAAACTCTTAGATCTTAAATGTGTTTTAATATTAAAATATGGAAATAACCAAGTGATTCCATAAAAACTTGACAAAGAGATGTTTTAGATTGAAACATGAAGAAACATGTTGTGTCGTTTCTGACTTAAACAAAGTTACTGAAATGACAAAATCTGTCGGTATAATGTTCCTTTATGGATAATTCGTTGCCCCTATAAATTACATACATAAGCTCGGGGCGCGCTTTGAAGTCCCTGGTCAGTGCGTTGAGCTTGAGTTATAAATCAACTTGTAAGTGCGGCCCCGTGATTTTTTAAACTAAATCTTTTCATGCACGTTCTTTCGAATAAAGTGTTTGATACAAGATTTCTGGTCGGTCTGATTTCGAATCAACATACAGACAATATATTTAGCACATGTTTTTATCAGAAGTTATCCTTCAAATGTGTATTGATGTAAATCTTTTATTCAATATAAAAAAATCCATAAAGATAAATAAGTATTCCTGGTAATTCGTATGAGTATTCTTGTTATTAACAAATAGTTAAACTTTATTTGAAAGATTTTTTTTTTATTTTATTTTTATTTTTTATTTTCATATTATTTTTTTTTTCATTTAAATCTTTTTTTTTTATCTCTTTGTGTTTATATTAACAGATAACATGTTAGAATAGAAACCCATATAAGTATTGTTTCCAGTATTGAATTAATTTTCAATATATTTTATTACGTAAGGCTTCTAATTCAACATAAATATTTTAATATAAATGTGTGTTCTTGTTCATTGTCATGCTTATGGCTTTGTAATTCGAGAGCATTCCTTTCAACGCCTTAGTACGCCATCCACACAGTGCTACATACGGCCCTCTCATCTTCAAAGGGACCGCGGCCCTTTGTCACGCTGTGCTTGACTCCATTATACCACACTGCCGTAGAGGCGACTGAGCCGACTACAACAAATGCTGTTTTTCTTTCGTTTCAAAGATAACGTGCGTTTGTGTGAATACGAATTCAAAGAAAATAGGAAAACACAGCCTAATGTTGACACGATTAGTTGGATAGTTATAAAAATGTCTCCAAGTCACAATAATTCTTAATGGGGTTTTAATTTTTGCTAGATTTTAACAATCGTTTTTGTTACAAGTATCCAACGGCGAATTTACTACTGATTGGAAAATAGCCAAGGTTTGATGTGTACAAGATGAAAGAATGTATTGTTTTAAGAAGAAAGGGGATGAAGACGACGAAAGATGTGATGAAACTTCGGTCTGATAACGCCAAAGAAAGGACATAGTGCCGACAGGTAGACACAGGTAGAACAGAGGGCGATTGAAATTATGGCTGTAGGGCATATAGTTGTAACGTCCTCTTGTGCTAACGTTTAGTGATCTAGAGTAAATGTGATTTGACAGTCGGGATATCTGGTGTGTTTACATGTGTTGCGGTGTGTTTTGATGTGATTTGGGGTGACGTAATGTGGGATGTTGTGTTGTGGGGTGTTGTGTTGTAGGGTGTTGTGACGAGGGATGACGTGATGTGTTGTGTTGTGGGGTGTTGTGACGAGGGATGACGTGAGGTGTTGTGTTGTGGGGTGTTGTGTTGTAGGGTGTTGTGACGAGGGATGACGTGATGCGTTGTGTTGCGGAGTGTTGCGACGAGGGATGACGTGATGTGATGTGTTGTAGGGTGTTGTGACGAGGGATGACATGATGTGTTGTGGGGTATTGTGTTGTAGGGTGTTGTGACGAGGGGTGACGTGATGTGTTTTGTTGTGGGGTATTGTGTTGTAGGGTGTTGTGATGAGGGATGGTTTAATGTCTTGTGTTGTGGGGTGTTATGACGAGGGATGACATGATGTGTTGTGGGGTATTGTGTTGTAGGGTGTTGTGACGAGGTATGACGTGAGGTGTTGTGTTGTAGGGTGTTGTGACGAGGGATGACGTGATGTGATGTGTTGTGACGAGGGATGACGTGATGTGTTGTGTTGTGGGGTGTTGTGACGAGGGATGACGTGATGTGTTGTGTTGTGGAGTGTTATGACGAGGGATGACGTGATGTGTTGTGTTGTGGGCTGTTGTGAGGTTGTGTTGTAGTGTGTTGTGACGAGGGCTGACGTGATGTGTTGTGTTGTGGGGTGTTGTGTTGTATGGTGTTGTGACAAGGGATGACGTGATGTCTTGTGTTGTGGGGTGTTATGACGAGGGCTGGTGTGTTGTGTTGTGGGGTGTTGTGTTGTAGGGTGTTGTGACGAGGGATGATGTTATGTGTTGTGGTTTGATGTGGCTTGTTGTGACATGTTATTTTGTGAAGTGATGTGATGTCATGTCATGTCAAATGAGATGTTGTGGTGTGTTGTGATGATGGTTGACGTGATGTGAGGTGTTGTCTCGTGGTGTGACGTGATGAAGTGTGATGTATTGTGGGATGTTGTGTGTGGTGTTGTGATGAGGACTGATGCGGTGTGAGGTGCTGTCTTGTGGGACAGTGTGATGTGAGTTGATGTATTGTGGGATGTTGTGTGTGTGGTGTTGTGATGAGGACTGATGCGGTTTGAGGTGTTGTATTGTGGGACGGTGTGTTGAGGGTGTGATAAGTGGTGGGGGTGATGTAGTTTTGGGTAATGTGGTACATTAAAACGGTGTTGAGTGGTGAGATGGCGTTATGAGGTATGTGATGAAATGATGTTGTGGTGTGTGTGGTGAGATGGTGTTATGAAGTGTGTGGAGAAAAGGTGTTGTGTGGTGAGATGGTGTTATGTGGTAAGATCGTGTTTGGTGAGGTAATAAGATTGTGTTGTTAGGTGTAGCGAAATGGTGTTGAGATGAAATGGTGAGCTAGTATTTTTAAGTGTGTGGTAAGGTGGTGTTGTGAAATGAGACGGTGCTATGGTGTTGTGAAATGGTGTTGTTAGGTGTGAGTTATGTGATGAAATGGCGTTGTGTGGTGAGATGGTGTAGTGAATTGTGGAGAAAAGATGGTGTTATGATGTGTATTGAGAACAATTGCTGTGAGGTGAAGTAGTGAGATCATGTTGTTCGTGGTTGGTGAGATGACGTTTTGAGGTGTGTGTAGAAGAGGTGTTGTGTGGTGAGCTGGTGTTGAGTGGTAAGATGGTGTTATGAGGTGTGTGTTGAAATGCTGTTGTGTCTTGAGATGGTGTTGTAATGTGAGGTGGTGTTGTTAGGTGTGTAGAGAAAATGTGAGTGGTTAGCTGGTGTTATGAGGTGATGTGTGGTGTGTGTTGAGATGGTGGTGAGATGGTGTTGTGTGGTAAGATGGTGTTATGAGAGTTGTCTTGAAATGGTGTTGTGTGGTGAGCTGGTGTTGTGAGGCGTGGTGTGCGATTAGAGTGTGTTGTGATGAAATAATGTTGTGAGATGTGATGCAGTGCGGGGTGTAGTTGTATGATGCTGTGTGGTGGTGTACAACGGGTAAATGAGGTATTTGATGCGGCGCGTGTGGTACGGACGAGTAAACTGATATTTCCAATAGTTTAATGGATATAGGTCTGTACTTATCCATGACAACTGCAGACCGCTACAACGTCTGCTGACTGGTCCGTTCCCATCCATTCCTGACTTTTCAATTAATCGCCACTTACTATAGGGAACTATATTAACTTACTGAACAACTATTTATACCGATAGTCTAGAATTACCTAGGCTTTATTACTGACATGAACAGATAGAATAACATATTTCATTACGTCATGGGGATAGCGATTCTCTTTGATCTCGCCGACACTTGAGCCTTTGCATTGTAACGGACTACTGGACTACAAAAGACAAGTCCTCTTTTACTCGGTTGATAAGTATTGTAATGCAAGCTTTGACGATCTTCAAAAACACGCCGACAAAAAAAAAGTATATTGAACAAATCCTATTACCACATATCGTTGAGATTTCTATACCGTTGTCTAAAGATAGATTTATGTAAATTTCGGATTAATAATTAAAGTTCCGTGTTATTAATCTGTGACATGTGGTGACATGCAGAGTTACGTCCCTTGTGTATCATTGCAATATTGATTGAAGATAATTTCGACGATTTGTCTGCGAGAAACAGAATTGATAAAGCCATTTTAATGGACCCGAATTATAGTTTAATATCGTTTGACTGTTTTAATTCAGACATGGATATCTTATTAAATCAATTTATTTTTTAACTATGGTAATTTGGAAGTGTCTACATATGTGGATTTTGAGATAGTGTGTATTTGGTATGTCAGTAAGTACTGTGTTCTTTTTTACCGACCGCTCGTCTTGTAATAATGACCGTTTAAAAGCTCTCCGTGATAAGATTTTTATCCAGCGCTGACCGTTGGTCAGTCAGAGTCCTGTTTACTCTGATGTCCAGTTTATGGCTATCTGATGGTCGATTCTTTGATCAGTAGCCAGTGTATTCTCCTTTGGTCAGTACTGGACACATGGCCTATCGTAAAAACTAACGTACAAACAGCACGGTGCTATTTAATGCAGGGATGTTTATCAAAAATAATAATAATTAACACACAGATATATTTTTTAAACTAGCCAATTTATTTTTCCGTGAAATATGGTGAATGTGTTTCATATTCACTTTGCTTTTCATTTTAACATAGATGTGAACGAAGAAAGGGAATTCTACATCCTTTAGAGTCTAAAGTTGACAAATCTTTGGGAAACTATAGCC